CATTACAACGCCGGTTTCTCCGTGCTTCGTCCAACAAATATAGTTTGGCATGAAACCCGACTTGAACAAGTGTGAATGAAGAGTCCTTGAGCAAGGATATTCCACCGTATTCTTACATATGGCACATGGACAAAGCACATGAAACCGTCGCGTTTGTTTGCCTCGGCCAAGACGTAAAAAAAGAATGCACGCCGTCAATGAACTCTTGGGAGCGGCGCGATCAAGATTGTACATCCAATGCGGCTCATCTCGCATTACAAGACATAAATACCATATTAAAACCTAGATCATAATTAATTATTTATACAACATGTGTGCCACCATAAAAGGTACAAATTTATGAAAGCATCGCTACAATGTAGACAATCCCAACTACCACTAAAAGAACTAAAGCTAAAATACATTTCAGGAGCACAAGGATTTCGCGACCAATCTTAACTAAAACAGACAGATCCAATGATTGTGCAACATCTTTGGGCTTCTTCGGCTGGATCACTGCCTCATTAGCCGTCGTATCTGCCTATTGTGCGAGATATTTTTGCACGAGTTCAACATACTCTTCCTCCCAGTAGAAGCCTGAACATCGTCCACTGCCATCCCACTGAAATTAAAACAAAAAATTAGAACTTTAATCACAACCATCATGAAAATAGGTATAAACTAACAATAATCATTAAATACGATAAAATAACTCACATTGCGATTCGGACACTTGTAGAAGATACGATCCTTGTTGGGACCCTCCACTCGGTACTCCATCACAATCTTCATCTCATCACGACACTTGCCGCATGGAATGAGAGGGAGGCCCGGCCTAAGTCGCTTTGGAAACCCATGAGAGGCCGAGGACCCAGAAGCAGTTGCCATCTACTCTCTATACTCATTTTTAATACACTATAAATTTCTCATTTTATAAACAAATAAAATTAAGAAACTATAAAATTATCTATATCTCAAAAACATGTTTTAATAAATAACCATCCGTACTAGTTGACCTTGCTTACGTGATCATCTCGGCGAGCATTTCTCCACCGGACGGCACCGTACTTGGTCAAGAAAGAGCTCCGATTCTACGAGGAAGGGAACACGGTCTTCCACGACCGTTGCCGCTCTCCCTCGTAGAATCAAAGCTCCTCCTTGACGTCCGTTACCGCTCGGCAGAGAACATGCTCGCCGAGATAAACACGGTCCGCAAGTTCAACTAGCTACTTTAACCTTCTTTCATGTAAATATGCAAGCTTGAAGTGATTTTGAGCTCAAATTGCTTACAAATGAAAAAAAAACACAATAAAGAACGATATATATATATAGTGAACAAAATGAGATAAGACAATTGTGAAAAATGAGAGTATGAGATTGGTAACCTTTACAACTGAAGAATCGACGGAGGAATCGAAGAAATCGATGGAGGAATCGAAGAATGGATGGAGGAACAATGGAGGGAGGGAGGAAGCAAGAACACTAGTGCAGTGAGCTTCAAAATGTGCTGAGCTCGGGCTCGGGGAGGAAGAAGGAGACGGTAGGGATATAAAGGGGCCTTTAGTCCCGGTTGGTGGCTCCAACCAGGACTAAAGGTAACTTTCCAACCCCGGCGCAACCACGGCCCGGGGTAGAGACTTTACTCCCGGTTGGAGCCACCAACGAGAGAGTAAAGTATATTTTTAGTCGGTTGGTGGCAATCGGGACTAAAGGTCCCGCCACCTCTGCTGGCGCTTGATGGCCAGTTGGCGAGGGATTTTAGTCCCGGTTGGAGCCACCAACCGGGACTAAAGGTATCTCTAGTCCCGGGCGCAAAAAATGCCGGGACTAGAGTCCATTTTAGCCGAGGATCAAAGATCTGTTCTCTACTAGTGTCTTCTTCTTAGTGAAAAATCGTGGGGGCGTCATTCCCCCCGGATGTCGAGTTTTTTTTTCTACTTGTGCGCCCTAGGGCATGGCCAATGCATGTAGTATATAGTAGTGGTGGTTTCATTCATTCAGAATTAGTAGGTCTAGATAACAATGGGGAAAGCTTTGAATTTGAGCTACTATCCATCCAATACAAGCACTCTTGTTGTCCCTATAACTCTTTCTTCTCGTTGCTTTCTTCCTCACAATTTTTGTGGTCCTCTCATCTTCTCTCAAGAGGCTTATTGGCTATCGTAGGGCATGACTAAGCACATACGAAAAGTACTGTGTGTTGGGACCTGCCCTAGATTAATTTGTTTGTTTCACCAAGCACGCATGTGACATTCAGTTCCCAGGGCCGTACAAACCGAGGGCGTGGTCTCTCAGTCAGCAGCACATGGCACGCCCTGGCCCTTGGAGAGTTGCGGTACTGTTTGAGGATTGGATGGTGAGCTAGATCACTTAGGATCCCAAAAGCTCTTTTTGTTTGAAAAATAAGCTCTTAAAAGCTGTTGAGCAGCAGCGCAAGGCAGTGGCTTGCATGTGTTTGTACCACATAGATTAGTACTGGTGGTTTTGTGGATTAGCCAGCGCTTGTCAGAGAACAAATCATGCATGTTGGTGGGTTAATCATTTACTCAAGTGAGCAGTAGATTGGTTGTATAAGCAATATGCATGCATGAGATGATGTGCATGCTGCAACTAACGGCTGCAGGCCCATGGTATCCCAGCCACCACCCACCGCACCGGTGGTCATGCTCAGTGCCCCACGCCACACTCTCACTACTCACTAGGCGGCTCTCCCTTGCATTCCATTGGCTGGGATCTTCTACGAAAGAGTGCCGATACACGGCCCGTCACATTTTCTTGAGGGTTTAGAAGAGCTACTCCTATTCCTATGACAAGTGATTCTCTCATTTTCCAAAGTACACCTCCGTCGTAAATTAAGCGCACTTCTAGCATTTGAAGTTTAGCTCAGCATAAGTGTATTTCTAGATATAGTCCACCTACTCTTGGTAGATTTTTTTTCTTTCTCTATTTTCAAAGTGCAATCATTACATGCTGGAATAATAGTTTTTGATTGGGTAGATATGTAATTTTCAAGTAACGTTTTTTAAAGAGAACCTAGGGGGGAGAGTTTCCCCGCCTGGATTATATTAAGGCCCCGTTTAGATCTTTGGTTACAACGCGGGCGATGTCGTCCGCCAATTTTCAAGTAACATTATCTTCTCCAAAAATTTTATAAGTATACTTATCATTGGAGACGATTACGCGTGGAAAGTGGACGAGAAGTCATATCTTTGACACTGACCCTTTTTATTAGTTCATTTAGAGAATTGTACGATAGAGTTAGTTCAGAATCACTCCTCTACGAAACATCGAGAGCGCCACTAAAAAGGTCACTGTTGTTGTTGTCGTCATGGCTGCTGCCCAAAATCGGATTGGACAGGTAGGAATGTATTCCACGAAAGGTCAAGTTCTGTTCCACGGTCTCTATCTGAAACCAAATACTACATTTTCAAGGCCAAATTCTGTTCCACGGTCTGTGTCTGAATTTCTGAAACCAGCCCCATGCACATGCATTCGCGCATGCTTTCGTTCCTTACGACGCAATTCACCATCATCGACCCAAACCCAACCATGCATGGAAGCAAAGTGGCCACCTATAGCAGTAGTAGCCCAGCCAGGCCCCACCAGGTCAGTGGTAGTACAAATGGGATCACAAGCAAGGCCTGGTTTAGATTATGGTTATGAATCAGTATTTGGCACTGTAGCACTTCCGTTTGTATTTGATAATTATTGTACAATCATGGCAAAAGATTCGTCTCGTAATTTACAATCAAATTATGTAATTAGTTATTTTTTTATCTATATTTAATACTCCATATATATGTCCAAAGATTTGATAGGATGAAAAAAAAATAAAAAAACTTGCAATCTAAACAAGGCCCAAAGCGATGCAATCCAAGCATGCAGCAGGTGAATCCATCCATCCATCGTTTGGAGCTGAGAATGCAAAGGCAACCTGAATCCACAGCTCTTTCAGGGCTGATGTTGCCATGATGATGTGAAAGAATCCTCTCATTCAGAGCAAACTCCAAGGCAGCTGGGTACCTGTAGCTATAGGTAGCAGGATGTACTGCCGCACTGTGAAAGGCAGGGGAGCACCAAAGTTGAGGCTGTGTTTAATTCCAAAAAGTTTTCTAAAAAGTATTGCAGTAGCCATTACATCGAATTTTGCGATATGTGTATAGAGCATTAAATGTAGACGAAAAAAACTAACTGCACAGTTTGGTTGGAAATCGCGAGACGAACGTTTTGAGCCTAATTAGTCCATGATTAAACACTAATTACTACATAAAAACAAAAATGCTACGGTAGCCAAATTTCTAAATTTCACAAACTAAACCCAGCCTGAAGCTACAATCCACCTAGGATTTTGGGCCACGCACAAAGGACCCATCACATTCACATGCCCCATGCCCACATGCACATGCCAAGCACGAAGCACCTGTCCCCCCTCACTCCACTGACTGAGTAGCGAGTCCTCTCTCCTCTGTCACCTCTAGAACCTTCACATCATTCACCCCGTGGTGAATATATTCTCTCTTCTTTTACCTACTAGTACCATCATAAAAATTCAGATTCCAATGCAAACTTGCTGAAGCTGTTGTTAACACTAGTACTGTACTCCTACTAGATAAAGGAGTAAAGAAAATATATAGGACAACTGGCTAGAGGGAATTGCCAAGGTAAATGAAACTTAGAGTAATACTATCATACATACAGTTTTTTATAGAAGTTCTACATAAAGGTACTCCATATAGCATCCATAAACTGACAAGCCCAGACTTACTTTATACCACAAAGGTGAAAGAAAGGGTTAAAATTACAAAAGAAAAAAGAAGAGAGGAATTGAAAGAAGTCTAACTCCCCAAAAAAGCCTGGTACTGTTCAAACAAAGTTGCCATTTGCTTTTGCTCAGGGGCATTTTTGCAAAGACAACCTCCCTCCCTCTAGATTATGCACGCAGCTCCCTCGCTATTCCCTCCAAACCACCTTCTTATTCTTTTTTTTTCGCTCAGGCAGGAGCAGGACCAACCTACGGGTTTTTACATGACGGAGCAGGCGTTGGGGTTCTCGTCGCTGAAGATCTGCGGCGCCATGGGCTGGTGGTGGTGTGGCGGCGCGTACGCAGCGTACGACGGCGGCGGGTAGGCCGGCTGGTAGGCGTACCCCGGAGGCGGCGGCGGCGGGTACTGGTAGGCCGGCTGGTAGTACCCTCCCGGGAACGCGAACCGCGGGTAGTGCATGTACAGGTTGGCGGCCGCGATGGCAGCCGCGTCCTTGTCCTTGTCGGCCTCGTCCTTCTTCTCGTCGCCGCCGCCCTCCTTCTCCTCCTTCTCGTCGCCGCCGCCGCCGTCCTTCTTCTCTTCCTCCTTGCCGTCCTTCTTCTCCTCGCCTCCGCCTTCTTCCTTCTTCTCCTCCTTGGCCTTGTCGTCGCCGGCGGCGGCGCTCTCCGGTGGGGGGACTGTCTCGGACTTGACGATGGCCGCGTGCTTGCCGGTGCGCTTGTACACGTGCTCGGCCAGCTTGGACTCTTCGAACACGCCCTTCACTGTCACCTCCGATGCCTTGAGGTCTGCCTCTACAGACTGCACGCCTGCACAACCATCAAGAACATTATTTGTGATTCAGAACATACAAGGACCAGTAAATAGTTTTTCGACAAGCTAAACAGTCTTGTTAATTTTGGGTCAAACAGGTGGGTGGAGGAGTTATTCATTTCACGTTGAATAGTTCTGTTCCCTATTCATTTCACTGTGAAGAGATGCATCATGCATGTGTTCCGAATCATTTGGTCAGAAAAAGACTGCATTTGGGCATGCTGAATCATCACACTAAGCTAGCAACTCCATTGCAGCCACCAAGCTTTAGTAAACTGCTACTCCAGACAAGACATGTATACATGATAATAATGGTATGGGTATATATGCAAGAAAAGGACTAGACTAGACTAGACTAGTACTCTAATAATTGAAGGCAGCCAAACAAACTGATGATAATGGAGCACCGACCGTTCATCTTGAGGATCCTCTTCCTGATCCCCTGAGCGCAGGCCTCGCAATGCATGTGCACCTTCAGCACCACGGCGAGCACCGGCGGCTTCAAAACCATAAAAAAAAAAAAACCCTCACATCAGCCTCTGATCGATGGAACTAAAATCATCATTCAGAATAAAACCAATGCAATGCAAAAACCAATGAAGATCATCAGGATGTTGATGTGAGAAGAAATATATATATATATATATATATATATATATGTATGTATATCAGTATATGTATCTCTTTGATTATATTCACCTCCTTCTTCTCCTCCGGCTTTGGCGGCTCGGGCTCCTCCTTCTTCTCCTCTTCCTTCTTCTCCTCCGGTGGCGGGGGTATCGGCGACAGGAGCTCCACCTTGCGGCCGGTCTTCTTCTGGACGCGCTCCACCACCTTCATGGGATCAGCGGCCGCCTTCTTCCCCTTCACCAACACCTTGTGCGCCTTGGAGTCAGCGATCACATCCTCCACTCCTGCAATTTCCATTCCAGTTCAGAATTCAGATGCATGCCATTGCCATGGAGAAATAATAATAATATATATGCACGCATCATGCTTAGCTGGAAGTTGGAATTGGAACATTGTTAGTTGAGAATCATTTGGAGGATACTGTCTAGACATGGCTGCTGGCTGAGGAATGAATCGACTTCACTTTTTGAGCTCTGAGAATGACACACGCATGCTCAAGGCTGTCATTCTCTTGGAATCTACCTGCCTTTTGCCGAGCTAAAAAGTCACTCAGAGGGATCTCTAGTCAGGGACAGGGAGTCAGTCGTTCTCCGTTCTCCCTCCCACCATTAATCTTAATCAAGTGGATGGATTGGTGTGCAATTGCAACCGTTGAACATGGAAGATCTAATTGATTAGCAAGGTGAATCTGATTAAATAAAGCGTACCCCACCGACTACCCAGTTAAAAATCCTGCCATGAATCACATAAATTCTTCCAAGAATAACCTTTGAAACAAGTATCCTAAATCTGGAATTTCTCTTTTGAAGGAAAAAAAAAGAATATTCTGAAATCTCAATCCACGTCATGCATTCATGTGTGTTTAATAAAAAAGAAAACTGATGACCATAGGATACTTGCTACCACAATTAATGAGAAGAAACTGAAAAATACAGCACACTGAAAACAGAACAAAGGAGAAGGTAACAGAGGCAGGGCAGGGCAGCATTTTACCATCGAAGCGCTTGAGGATCTTCTTGACCTTGCGGGCGCATCCCTCGCAGTGCATGTAGACCCGCATCTCGACCTCCTCCGGCGGCGGGGGCGGCGGCGGCGGCGCATCCTCCTTCTTCTCCTCCCCGTCCTTGGGCTTCTCCTCGCCGCCGCCTTCCTTGGGCTTGTCCTCCGCCGCGGCGTCCTTGGGTTTGTCGTCCTTCTTCTCCTCTGCCGCCGCCTCCTTGGGCTTCTCCACCTCCTCCTTCTTCGCCTCCTGCAAGGCAACAACATGACCACCACCTTCAGGATGTGACGCCCGGCTGGAGGAGAAGGAGATGATGAGAAGCGTCGTCCCCAACGGCCAAAACAAACTCACCTCGCCCATGGCTTCCCTCCGCTGTGTGCTCTGCTCCCACGCGCGCCTCTGCTGCTGCGACTGCAAGCTCCTCCTCTCCTCGGTGAGCGAGCGGGTGAGTGGTGGTGGACGGTGGTGGCTGGCTCTGTGCTCGCGTGTCTGTGACGCCGGTGGGGAATGGGGGTGGGGGTGATGTGGTGTGTCACCTTATGTAGAGAGAGGCCAGAGGGTGGGCGCCGCCAACCAAGGCCTGCAAGATCCGCCTCCGCCCGCATGGAAATGATTTTGGCATCTCTATCTCTCCACCACGTCCCTTGCCTCCCTCTCACTCTATCTCTTGGAAATTGGAGAGTGGAGTAGCACACTGTTTCGATTTTTTCCGCTGGCACTGAATACGTAGCTGTAAGAAATTACTACTCGGAGGGTAAATTTAATTTACTTAATGAAATATTGCTTAAATACAATGTGTGTAACGTTCCTTTTATTGCCTGGAGATTTTTGGAACCGATTGATTACTGTGTTTTACCAAGCAAGGTTTAGTTTTGTAGTCGCGACCAAAAAAATTAATAATTTGGTGGTACTTTGTTTGTACGATGTGCTTTCTGATGACATTTTTTTTACCTTCATTCATCAATTTGCACACTACCATGGGCAGCCCCAGGGTGCAGATGCGTGCGTGCATCCATTGGGCGACACAAAACTACAAATAAATAAAAAAAAGGTTTTCTCGATCGAGGGGCTTCATCTTCAAGATGCTTTGCAGTTACTAGTAGTTTGCAATGCCGTGCCGTCCTCCTGTGTGCCGCTCTCTTCTTCTAAAACTGCCTGCCTTTGTATCTCTTCCTCCTTGCTTTTCCCTGAGAGGCTTGATGCATGGAGGTTTCTTACCACGTAACTATGTGTCATCTCTTCCTCCTTTTCCCTCACTGGCTTTGCTGACGCACCAAGTTTTCTTGCCACGTACTAGTATTTGTATTTCTCTTCTGTGTTTCCTTTTCTCTGAGAGGCTTAATGCATGAAGTTTTCTTGCCTCATAAGTACTACTTATCGGCACTATTAAGGGCCTGTTTGGTTTCCATAAGCCAGGTGACTTATTAAGTCAGGTGACTGAAAACCAGTGACTTATAAGTCATACTTGTTTTGTTGTAGATGACTTATAAGCTCATTAAAGGTGTGGGCCCCACGCGAAAAAGGATGACTTATAAGTTTTAAGCAGGGGTGAACCAACTTAAAACTTATAAGCAGGGGTGGCTTATAAGTTGGTGGTGTTTGGCAAAATAAGTCACTTTTTTCACTTTTTAACTTATAAGTAGATGACTTATTTTGACCAAACAGGCCCTAAAGCTTCAGTTTCTGCCTTTTTTGTTCTAGTGCTCCGCCAGGCTATGCATGACTCAACACACCTATCCCCAACCCAGCTGTCTGCCATGCATGCGTGCATCATGCAGCCGATCGAGAAAGGGAGATATAGATAGCAGAGCGCAGATAGCACACTTATCTGGTTTGCAGATGCAGATGTAGTGCAGCCCTGGTGTGGCATATGTATGTAGCCTCTGGATAATGTTGTTTGGCTGGCCATGGCCACTACCTTCCTGCTTGTGCTTCTCTCTGTATCTTGCTTCTTTGCAAGATATCTATGCACCATATGTCACGGTAGTATATGATCCATCATGTGAATGATCATATAATGCGTATGTATACTTCATATCCGGCGTCCGGCCATACACTTGTCTCCTGCTTTGAGCTTGCAGTTTTCCTCCTTAATTTAGTTCTCTCTTAATATACGCTGGCCCCTCTCTTTTTTTCTGTCTATGTTACCATGCATGGCAACAAGAAAGATGATGGAGACTTGAAAGCAAATGAGAAAACGGCATATTAAAAGAGAGAAACCATTAGTGCATTTTAAGCCCTACCACTATATATCCATTGAGAGGTCCTTCGAGATGAGAATTAAATTAAAATAATTAATCAAGGAAAAGACGAGCTTGGTCCTCTTCTATATGTCACTAATTATAGCGGTTGTAGGTGTATGTATATATAGATCCAGCATTCTATTTTTTTCTTCGCAAAAAAAGCATTCTATTTTTTTTCTTATAATATTGCTTGCTTGCAAGAGACCCAAAGGCGGGCTAAAAGTTTCAGGTTTGTTGTTTGGCCGATCTTGTGGTACGGCAACGTGAATTTTATCGTATTTCGAGTAAAGTTTTAATTATATATATCATGTAGCCGTACTAGTCAAGTTAACAATGCATGCATGTATCGCCTTTTATTTGACACCGTCTAGTAAATATTTCATTGACCGGTGTGGCGGCTCAAGGGAGGCATGGAAAGCTAGCTAGTGGCGAAATCATATGGCTAAGTTTGGAATATGGGGTTTTTTTTATTCCTATATGTTTTTCTATATTTAAGATCCCTTTGGAACATAGGAACTTTTTTTTGTTTTCTACGTTTTTCATATGAAAATCATGTACAAATCCTGTAAAATTCATGTGTTCCAAAGGAGTCCTAATTGATTGCTATATATCTACATGTATATTTTTTTTTAAAATTTCCGTATTTCAAATGGGCTTTACAAGTTGCATCGATTGCAACAAGGTAGAGAAAAATAAGAAGGCAAATTAGGTGGAATGTAAACAACAAGAATTTTGTGTTTTGTGTTTTGTGTTTTGTGTTTTGTGTTTTGTGTGTTTGTCTTTTGTCTCCATTAGCTATTAGTTAGCTAGTCAACAGCTCATATATAATATTAGCAGCTTTGGTCTAACTAGTGTGATAGCTAGTTAAATATATATCCAGCTAACAATTAGCTAGACTAATATTAGCTAGACCCGTTTAGATAAAAAAAATAGTTGTTAGTAGCTAACTATTAGCTTTATGGATCAAAATATGACCTAATTAAGCCTCATCAACCGAATACTATCATGTAAAAACTAATTAATAGTTCATCGCTAATAATATTAGCTGCTATTAGCTAGACTATTAGTTGTCCACCATTTAGATAAAAAAAAAGTAATTATTAGCAGCTAAATATTTGACAGCATCTAGTAAATATTTCAGTGAGCGGTGGCGAGATGCTAAGTTTGGAATACGGGATTTTTTAATTCCTATACTTTTCTATATTTAATTGATTGCTATCTATATGTGTTTTTTTAAAAAAAATCGTATTTCAAATGGGCTCTACAAGTTGCATCGATCGCAACAAGGTGGAGGAAAATTAGAAGGAATGTAAACAGCAATAAGTTTTGTCTTTTGTCTTGATCTTTCAAACAAAGACATTTTGTATTAAAGTAAGACCCTATTTATATCCCTTAGTGTCGGGTATCAGTATTAGGGATACCCAACAGAGGGATCTGAGGACCGCGGACGACAAACTCATCTAGATAATCGATGACGTATTTCAGTCTCAACCGACCTCGAAGGGACGGTTTCCGCCTTGCCAGACCCCTCAGGCATTGGCCCCGTGTCGCCCGACCCCGAGGGTACGGGAGCCGTCTCGCCCGACCCCTCAGGCACGGGCCCCGTGTCGCCCAACCCCGAGGGTACGGGAGCAGTCTCGCTCGACCCCTCAAGCACGGGCCTCGTGTCGCCCGACCCCTCGGGCACGGGCTCTGTGTCGCCCGACCCCTCAGGCACGGGCCCCGTGTTGCCCGACCCCGAGCGTACGGGAGCCGTCTCGCGTGACCCTGAGGGCACGGGCTCCGTCCCGCCTGACCCCGAGGACGCGGGCTTCGTCTCGCCCGACGGGGACCCATACCACTTCCAACCACTACGGGTCTAAGGGTACGATCCCGGGGTCAAACTTCTGATACCGGGAGGGAAGCGGACACATCTCGACGTGACCCATGGCCACGTCAGCCCACTCCCGGGGTTCACATCACCAACAGTGACGGGTGTGTGGTCGCTGTGCTGCCTAATCCGCGTACGGCCGCTGACAGGCACATCGGTTCACCACGCCGTCTGCCAGGACGGGATGGGACGCCACGACTTGCTGATGATGTCGGGGCATGGCACCAGTGGTGAACAGGTGCCCGACGTCCACATCAGGCCTCGGATGGCTAGTCACGGCGTCAGCTAGGTTCTAGGCGTGCACGTGCGCTTCGGGAACCTAGGGAGAGTTGGCGTAGGCCCCCGCCATCGTCCAGCCTCTCCACTCCACCGGCCTTGACGCGATCGTTGAGGCGCTTGAGGAGCTACAGCTGCACGCACCGGAGGGCCGTGCCCCCGGGAGCGATCAGCTCCTCGACTTCGATTACGAGAGGCTAGAGCGCCAGCTTGATGCCTTCCTAGGACCCCGACCGTCCTGGGAGGACCTACGCTGCCTCACCTTCTCGTTCGCCAATGTCATGGCGCTGCTTGCTGGAGGGGAACCGCTCTCCCCGGAATACCTCATCTGGAGCGCCTCGGCAGCGTTCCTGTTCGGTTTGCGCAATGCTACGAGGACCGTTCACCACCCCGTGGCATAGCGCATGCACCCATCCCCTACGAACGACGAGTTCGTGGGATGACCGATTACATCACGAAATCTTTCCACGACCTTCTCGCGAAAGATTCAGAGTCGCTCTCCGACTCTGACTCCGACAGGGGTAGTCATCACCCCTCGTGAGAATATTTTATGGCAGGTACCCTCGAGGGACGCGTCGAAAGGGTCCATGAGGGAGGGGCTACCCCCCCCAAATGACCTGGACGACAAGGTCGAGGGAGATGTGGAGGCCCCGCCTCGCCTACAGGTGGAGTAGCTGAGGGCATGGCACATGGAACTCGAGGATGCGCGACTCCAGCTAGAGCAGGAGCGCGCGGAGCTCGAGCAAGAGATCGAGCGCCACGGTGACGGTGGGCGTGCGCGCGCCATGGCCCACGATGTGAACTGGAGGATCATCGAAGATGATGGAGCCCTCCCACACTTCGCCCGGGCAAGCCAAAACATCACTGCCTTGGCGGCCTTGCTTTGAGTGCTCCCGGAGCCCGCGACACCAGAGGATTGTCAGGCCCACTGTGAGATCCGAACGTTGCTCGAGTGCGCGGTGGTGCAGCAG